CCCGGGGCAGCGGCCGGGGCCGAAAATCCCCGGGGTTTCTGCTGTAACCGCCAAGCCGAGGTGCCATCGACCGAGCCCCCGAGCCGTTTCGACCCCTCGCTGCCGCGCGTTTGAACGGGCCACCAGCGGTCCTCTCCTTCTGCAGGTGGCTCAGCCACGGCTCGGAGAGGTTAGGGCGCGCGCCTGGGCGGCGCAGCAGGCCAGGGGGGCCACTCTGCGGAGCCGCGGGTGGTGTTCGCCTCTGCTCGAAAACAAAAGGGTGGAGTGGGGGGAGCCGAGGAAGGAACGCCTCCGACTCCCAAGTCGGCCGCTCCGCCCGATTTCGTATCCCCAGCCCACGGCGACCCGGGTCTGGCTACTCGGTCGGTTGCGTAGCCGTCTCCCGGAGGCCAGTTCAGCCTCGTCCAGGCTGCAAGGAACCGGAGAGCAAAGGAAAGCAAGCTCAGCCCCAGGGGCTTAAGTTAGACCCTCGGGGGGGGGGGTCCGCCTCGGTCCCCCGGAGCAAGATTTCTCAGCGCACTCGCCCTGTCCCCAGGGCCCCGAGCCCCGCCCCCAGCCTTCCCTGCCTCTGTCTCCCTGCGCATCTCCCTCCCCGCGTCTTGCTCTCTGACCCCGGTGACTTATTTCCCCGGGGTCTCGCTGTGCCTTTGTCTCTGTCTCTCCTCCGATCTCTGGCGTGAAGAACCGCCCCCGCCGCCCCCGCCGCCCCCGCCGCCCCCGCATAGGAACACACACCAGCAGAATCCGCCTTTTCAATAAAAAACGACAACTGGGAAACAGAGTGAATTAAAAAGCATTAACTTAAAAACAATCCATGTGTCTGCAAATGCGTTCCAAATGGCAGCCCTTCGGCAAGGTTGGGAGGGGGCGGAGGCGTGCCGGCCACATGTTCTGGAGCCTCAGACACAGTGTTGGGGGCCCAGTGCCTCGCTTAGGCCCCTTCCCACTAGCCACCTGGGATACAGGGTCTGGGGAGGGGACCCGGTCTACACGCCCTCACCCTCGCGGACCCCCACCTGGTGCCCTGGACCCTTTCGGAGGTTCTGGCATCTGCGGATCGCTGTCACTCCCCCAGTGCCTCCGAAGCTCCTACACGGGCTCCAACTATCCTTCCGCACCAGCCCTCTCCACGCCCCCCACACATACACACAGGTTTGACCCCCCACCACCCCAGATTTCTACCCCATTCTCCTTCCGGCCCTGCCCGGCCCTGCCCCACCCCACCCCCATTCCGCCCTCCTGCCCCTAGACCACCCAGCAGCCCTGGCTCAGAGAGAAATGGTTAGAACAAAGCTTTCCTCGGCCTGAAGAGACTCCAGGGAGCTGCATACAGTATCTCGCTCCCAGTGCAGTACCTGCAACTGCTCTGTCCTGCCAGGTGCCAACCAGAAACTGTGCGCTGAAGGCGGCCTCTCCAGGTAGCAGAAGTAGGCTGCTGTCCTTTGAAGTCGCTCAAGAAGAGGAAGCTCCCCTCCCCCCCACAGTTCATCCTACTACCTCCCTTTCCACTCCCAACAACCCTCCTTCACCCCTTTCTCTAGAAGTGGAAGGATTGGAGTTTAGGGAAGCTGGGACTGCCCCTCAGTGTCTTCTCAGCTGGGAAGGAGCTCCTGAGTCCATAAACCAGATAGATGGGAGGGAGATCTGGGTTCTTAGCCTTCTCTGCTGATGACAATGACTTGTGATTAGGAGAACAATAGCAACGGAATAATACAGCAGCTAACACTTACTGAGCTCCTACTGTGTGCCATCCATATATAACTCACAGACACTGAGCAGTGGCTTTCCCTGTCTGCCCCAGGATGGGGTGGGGCCTTCCAGTTTAGACAGAGGGCCTGAAACACCGTGTTTGAATGAAACTCTGGTCAAGCTGCGTTTGTTGTCCCTGTTCCTCCCTGCTCAATGAAGACAAAAAGAAGCCAGTCAAAAGTTGGCTCTGAGTTATTCTATATTTCTGAGACAACAAAACAAGACAGACAGCGACAAAAAAAAACCCACCACTTAAAAAAGCCTAATAGTTCTCACCCAGTCAAATTGTTCTTCCTCCTAATAATCAGAGGTGAGCTGTTTTATTTTATTTTGAATGATAGAAGTGTTCTGTGTTCATCATGCAAGGGGGCCCTTCAAAATTCACCTGACTCACAAGCCTCTCGCCAGATACATGCGGGGAGAGTGCGATATGGGCACTTACCCACAGTTCCCCGGTGATCCTGCTGAGAGAATTGGATTCGCATAAGATCTCCGATATCTCCTCATATGATGAATATCTTGTTCTCATGTCTGGTTCTGATCTGAGATCCCGGCTCAGAACTGTGGAGGCTGTGTCCTGGGCACTTCTGTTTCTGCAGATTTCTTCCAGCAGCTTCCCTGTCTCAAGTGCTCTCGGACACCGGGGAGCCTGTGAAGGTGTGCCTATTTGTATGCATATAAATCTAGGTGTGTGTTTCCTTGTGTGTGTGAGGGGGCACAGGTCTCAGGCTACCGCTGGGTGTTTGTGTGAGCGATGTGCTGGTTGAGGGCCGGTACCTCTCTGTGCATTTATGTGTCTCTGAGGGTAGGTGCTTATGCCTCTGGGCAAACAAGTGTATCTGTGCTTTTGTGTTGCATTTATCTAAGTGGGGAGACGCTTGCTCCTCTATGTGGGCTCGTCCTGTGTGCCTGCATGGATGAGCCTGCCGTTTTCTGAGGCCTCCAACAGGGCAGGAGCTCCTATGGAAAAGGAGTTCCATCCAGGCCCCTGAAAGGCCGGCCGGCAGCTGAGCCATCTCTGTGCTTCAGAGCCAACAGTCAGAACTCCCCTCCTGGCTGGGGAAGCGGGAGGACATGTTTTGAGCATAAACACAGATCTCTGTGCTGAGCATTCTAATTCTGCAAGTCAAGTAGACAGCCCGGGCAGCTGCCTGCTAATTAGCCACCCCGGGGAAAAATTGCCTGTGTTGGAGTGGATAATGTGTTTGCCTGTTTCTCTGGGATCCTTGACCAACTGAATTCCCCCACCTCCCCCTGCCCTCTCCCACGGGCCTGTCTCCCTGCACCCCCAGCCGAGAAAGGTGGTACGGCATTTGCATGCCTTGGTTCTAACACATTGGCTTTTTCAAACAGGCCAACTACTAAGCAAATGTCATTTGGGCTGAACTTGGATGGCTCTAAATGAGATAAATGATCCATTGGAATAGATGAAGACAGGTCCCATGTTGGATCAAGATGAGCTTTTAAAGTTTCCCACGACGTGAAGGACAGGCTCCACATCCCCACCCCAGGCAAACTGTGCTCTCGGGGCTGGGGTTCTTCCACAGCACAGGACAAATCCTCAGGCACCTGCAGCCAAGGATCTTGGGCTTGACAGATCCCCAGTCACAGGCAGCCTCTGAGGCACTCTTCTCAGGTCCCTTTAGCAGCTGCTCTGGGCTGGTGGGAGCAGAAGCCCAGCCAGGTTGGGCTGAAGGGCAGCTGCCCACTGTGGTCAGAGTCATGCCCTTCTCTTGCTTATATACACACATGTGTACATGTGGCTACAACCACACTTGCGGCCTGAGCCCATGACTTTAACCTGTTCTAGGCTTTCAGGTACACAAAGGTCTAGACACAGAGGCATTCACAAAACCCCATACCATCATTGTGTTGTTGTAACTTGTAATACACAAATAGACATTAACACACAGATTTATAAGCAGATGCAGATATGAAGTAAACAGATAACACATACAGGTATTGCTATGACTGACGTTTTGCATCCCCCCAAATTCGTATGTTGACACCCCTATGTCTCAATGTGATGAAGGCAGCAGATGGAGACTTTGGGAGGTGACCAGGCAAGATGAGATCATGAGTGTGGGGTCCCCGTGATGGGATTAATGTCCTCATAGGACAAAGAGAGACCAGAGCTCCCTTTCTCTGCCATGTGAGGACACAGTGGGGAGGTAGCCGTGTAGAAGCCAGGAAGAGGGCCCTCGCCGGGAACCAAATCTGCTAGCACCTTGATCCCAGCCCCCGCAGCCCCCCAGAGCTCTGTGAGCATAACCGTCTGTTGTTCAAGTCCATGGTATTTTGTGACAGCAACCCAAGCAGACTAATACAGGAGCTGGGAATTATACTTGCACACATTTGCAAATAGCAATTTACATACCCAAAAAATTATTGACACATTCCTAAAGAGAGGGAATCATGTCGTGCGTGTCACTCCTACTATTACTGCTCGTTATCACTATGAATTTCTACGCTGATTCAGACTTCACCTTACTTTATTCTCAAGACAGCCCCAAGAGGGAGACATTTATTAGCTCCATTTTATCGGAGAAACTAAATCTTGAGTAAGGTGCTCAGAGTTGGTTGCGCAATCACTAAGTGGTAGAGGGGAATTTGAACCCAGGTGTCCCTCTGTAGGGACGATGAGTGATGTAGCACTTGGAGTTGGGGGAGGGGCCTCGCCAGGGCCAGAACAGGGCAACCCTGCTGTGCCCATAAAGCCTCCGTTCCCTAGGCCACCTGACTTGTTCAGTCTCACGTCTTGTAACTCAGTTACCATGATTGGGGACAGCTGTCCCCAGAGGCGGGCCAGAGAGCTCCGCCCCTCTTCCTAGGCTACAGAGCCACAGGCAACCCTGAAAAGGTTAAACAACCGGCTTGCAACTTCCGTTCGAAACAATGACCGTGATAAGAATAATGACATAAACTGATTTTAATACATGCCTCACTTAAATGATGGGCTCTGCTTCAGTGCTGGCACTTTCCGACGATACAAGATTATTTTATCCTCAGTACGGAGTCACTCCTCTGATTAATAGAGCTATGCGCTTTTAATTAAGAATGAGATTATTTAGTGGTGCGTTTGGTCTCAGTATCTAACTGTGCCCCCCACACCCACGCACAGATTGTCTCACTCTCCCTGACAGGGTCTCAGGCATGTTCCGGTGGCATGGGCCCTGCCCACCCCTCCCGGGCTTTCGTGTCCATCCCTCCTGATGCCGCTTGTGCCCCCCCCCCCCAGAGCTGTCCCGAGATATCCTGGAGTCTTCATCGCCCCTGGGCTGACAAAAGGCCTGGAGCAGCTTTGGGGGCCTGTCGCCCTCCTCCAGCCCCGGCCCACACCCTGGCGGGCTCCCCCAGAAGAAAAATGAAGGCCCTCCTGACAGGCAAGTATAAATATTTTCTTTCCCAGCCCAGTTCAGATGGGGACATTTGCTGTTAATAAAGTGGCAGCTGGCTATCTGGGAGTGTCTGAACGTGGCCGTCCCTGGCAGGGAGCATGTCATCCATCTCTGTCCTCACCCCATCAGATGAGGAGACTTCGCTGGCCTGCTTCTTTTTTGAATGTGCCTCGGACGGCAGAAAGCAGGCAGACAGGGTTTGGGGCACAGCAGTTTCGTCTTCTGTCTCTCGAGGGGCTGGGAGGGGGCAGCCTCGGTTTTCTGTTCTCGGCAAGCTCGCCTCTCAGGAGTGTGGTCGTCAGATGCCCAGCAAGGCTATTTGTTTAAGTCCCACATCGGGCGGTGAGATTTATTTATGGGGATAGGAGGGGAGTGTTGGGGACGGCTGGCTCTTCCCACTTTGAAAGGTGCTCAGACCAGAAAGGGCAACGCGACGTCATGGGAAACTGTGCTGTTCTTTGCGGCGTGCGGCCTGGAAATGGAGCTGCAAGGCCCGGAAAGGTTTTGAAATAACATTTTGGGCTGAAGCCCTCCCTGCCCCCACCTGGAAATAGGTGTTGGGATGGAAAACAGGGCACCTCTCCTCACCACTCGTCACCAGCCAGGGCTGTTTGAAATGAAAACAAAAAATTCTTCCTTAAAAGAAAATGTGTTTTCCAAAGTACCATGAATTCGCTTCTTGACTTCCAAGTGCATGAAATGCTGTGTGAAGACTCCATTCACAGCTTGGAGCTGTTGAGTCTGCTCTGGGAACCAGAGAGGGGCTCCAGCTGGGGTTGCTCTCTGGCAAATCTTGCATTCGATCAACAAACACTTGATGAGTGCTAGGCCTCTGGGTAATGAAAAGATACAAAGATGTCGGGTGACCTAGGACTGGCTCAAAGTTCTGTGTTTTGGTTTCCCCACATGTAAAATGGGGACGACAGTACAGATTTCAAAGGACTGTTATGAGAATCCCCCCGAAGCCTGTGTACGGCAGTGCCCCCTGCAGCACTGGACCCCCACATGGTGCTTGCAAATGTGTTACTGTTGCTGAAGGGGCTCACGGAGGCTTCCCCGGCTGCAGAATGGGGCAGCGCTCCTTCGCTTGGCCGGCAGTGCTTTCTGGGATCTGACCCAACCCCTTCTGTCAGCCAGTGGCCAGAGTTCTCCTGCTGCAGTCAGTGTGTCAGCAAGTCTGGCCTGTCCGTGGCCCCTCCATTCGCAGCTTGCCGCTGCCGCCTCCATGGGTTGGTCCCTGTTACTGCACACACCCAGCACACCTGGAAAACAGCCCCCTCCCTGCTCGCTGCTCCTTCCCACCGTATGCCCCTGTCCTCAGGGATGGCTGCAGCCACCACTTACTGTGCGCCAGGTGTCTCCACGGCTAGTACCTCATTTTAGGTTTTTATTCTAGAGTCAGGAAAGACAGAATCAAGAGAAAGAAAGGAGGAGAACAGTAAAGAGTTTGCACAAGGGGGATGATTTGGTCACATTTATTGTAAAGATCACTCTGGGCCAAAGAGGAGACTGGGTTCAGGAAGAAGCTGAGGGTCTTCAGAGAAGAAGAAGCTGGAGGTCAGGGTGGAGGTTGGCGGTCACGGAGGAGGTTGGGGTTCGGGGAGGAGGCTGGGGTTCAGGGAGGAGACTGTTGCAGTCCAGGCAAGAAAAGACAGTGGCAGTGCCTTTTGGGTGCAGAGGAGAGATTGGATTTGGCTTGGCTTCATTTACCCACTTACCACATATTTCATGGGTACCTACCACTCAGTCCATGTTTTGTAGGCCGGCTCTCTTCCAGCTGCTGGGACACGGTCGTGGACAAAGCAATACAAAATCCCTTCCCTCCTGGAGTTTGCGTCCTAGTGGGAGAAACAGATAAGAAACAAAGTAAATAAGAGAAATATTCAGTGTATTAGATAAGGCTAAGTGCTATTAAAAAATTAAAGCAAAGGAAGGGGTACCCAAAGAAGAGTCAGGGGTAAAATTATAGACGCTGAGGCCACAGAAGGCCTAGGGTAACTTCTGAGGAAAGCCCTCAGGAAGTGAGATGCCAGCCCTGCAGAGGCCTGGAGGTGCACACCAGGTGGAGGGAACTAGGGGTCCAGGGTTCCCACGGGCCAGGGGTGAGGAGGAGGTCTGGAGGCTGGAGGAGGCCCCAAAGCAGAGAGGATTGGGAGTGGAGGTCGGAGATGAAAGGGGGTCGGGATTGTAAGGGGCCCTGTCTGTGCCAGCAAATACCCTTTTAGGCACCTCGAAGTCAGGGCCCTTGGTGGCATGCCTTGGGTGGACGCCCTCCCGGGTGGGCCCCCTCCCCCTCTGAGCCCAATTTCTCACGGTGGAGGACACACGTGCTGTTGGGTGTCATTGTGAGAGCTTTGAGGTTCATGCTATGCTCTGAGCAAGACTCGGGTCCTGCAGGCCCTGAGATCCCACACACGAAGGTCTTCAACCCGTTCTGAGACTGACCTACAGTTGTGGAGGTACTAAGGTGGTGGCAATGGTGCTGCCTTGGGACGCAGAGGGCCCCGGCACCCTGGCCTTGGGAGCCTCTTTTGCCCTGCCTGCCGCCCTGTCCCTGGGGAAGTGGGAGAGGGGCTGGCTTTGGGCAACTCTGGTTTGTGTCCATAACCTGTGGCACAGGTTCTTCCTTATGCATCATTCCTTCGTACCTTCCCTTACTCTCCCCGATTTTCACCTATATATTTATTCCCTCCCTCGTTCTGTTTGCTTATTCCTGTCTTCACTCATTCCTCATTTACTTCTTTACTGACTCGTTTTCCTCTCTCGTAGCATTTATCACAAGACTAACTAAATAGGTAACAGATTGTTCAGCTCTCTGTGAAAGCCTGACTTCTGAGCCAAAACATAAGGGCGTGAGGACAGAAACCATGTCTTACTCACGGCTTTACCACCAGAATCTGGCCCCGTGTAGTACGTGCTCTGTAATGAATTGTGTATCCATTCACTCACCGGACACTCACTTATTCCTTCAGGTCCTTCCTTCCGGACACTCACTTATTCCTGATCATCAGGCCTCTTCATGTGCCAAAATATGGGCGTGGCACAGCTTACAGCAGAGGAGTAGAAAAGAAGAAAGGGGTCATCTGAGCCCCTGGCATCCATCCCAATTCATTCATCCATTCATTTACTCATTCTTCAATAAACATGCACTCAAATCACTCAGGACCAAATCTTGAGCTGGAAATGCCTTCACTCAGGATAATCAAAGGAAGGCTGAGGGTGGGCTGCAGGTGGGCCTCACATCATGGGTCAAATTTCAGGAACTGTGGGGATGAAATGTAGTCAGAAAGAGGGAACGGTATGAGCAGAGTCTTCGAGGAACATTACATCCAGGTGAGTCTAACTCCACAGATAGCCCTGCCTGGCAGGGTGCTAGGGAAAGCCTGCTATCAAGATAGCTTGGGGCAGTGGATAAAAAAGCTGTGATACACAATTTATAATAGCCAAGTGCTGGAAGCAACCTAGGTGCCCATCAGTAAATGAATGGATCTAAAAACTATGGTACATTTACACAATGGAATTCTATGCAGCAGAAAGAAAGAAGGAGCTCCTACCCTTGGCAACAGCATAGATGGAACTAGAAAGCATTATGCTAAGTGAAATAAGCCAGGTGGTGAAAGACAAATACCATATGATCTCACCTTTAACAGGAGCCTAAACAATAAAATAAACAAACAAGCAAAATATAACCAAAGACACTCAAACAGAGAACAGGCTGACAGTGACCAGAGGGGAGAGGGGAGGGAATTTCAGGGGGAAAGGGGAAGGGTTTACAAGAACAAGTATAAAGGACACATGGACAAAAACAAGGGGGTGGAAATGGGAGGGAGGTGGGGAAGGATGGATAGGTGGGCTGGGATGGGAGTAAAAGACAGAAAACTTTACTTGAACAACAATTAAAATGAAAAAACCTGTGGTACATATATTCAATGGAATATTACTCAACCATCCAAAAGAATGAAATCATACCATTTGCAACAGCATGGATAGGCCTAGAGGATATTGTGCTAAGTGAAATAAGTCAGACAGAGAAAGACAAATGCCATCGGATTTCACTTATATGTGAAATCTAAAGAACAAAGCAAACAAAATAGAAACACTCATGGATATAGAGAACAGAGTAAAGGTTGCCGGAGGGGAGGGCAGTTGAGGGACTGAGTGAAAAAGGTGAAGGGATTAACAAGTAATTGGTAGTCACAAAACAGTCATGGCGATGTGAAGTACAAAACAGGAAATACAATCAGTAATATTGTAATAACTATGTACAAAGCCAGGTGGGTACTGAAAATATCAAAGGGGTCACTTTGTAAAGTATATGATTATCTAACTGCTATGCTATATACCTGAAACTAATATAAATATTATAATACTGCATGCAAACTGTAATTGAAAACTTCAATTTAAATTTACGAAAGGTAGTTTGGGAAAATTCTGGATGGCTTTAATTGCCAGACATGGAGTGCGCTGAGCTCCAAGGGGCACTCATACAAGCACTTGTCTCCTGTTGTGGGGAGGCTGGTGGGGCAAGCGGCAGAAGGCTGTGGGTCGGCTCCTCCTGGAACAGTGTGAGTTCCTGTTTTCCTAGCAGGGAGGAAAAGGCCCGAGATGGCTAAGATTCCCCAACAGGGCACAAGCACCCTGGCTCCTGCAAAGCTTCGTGATGGCTCTAATGTAAATGAATTAAAAGTATACAGATTATATTTCCCTTTTAAAACCTGCCAGCCGGAGGAAATCAAACAGGGAACATTTAAGAGGAGGCACCTGAGTGTCCGGCACCCACCAGAGCCTCCTGGGGCCTCTCAGGCAGAGAGCACAGGTTCCTTTGAGACCATGGGGAGGCAGGGCCCAGGCCTGGGCCCCAGGTCCCTTGTGCTTGTTTGTAAACCTGTCTCAAAACCAAATGACACGCTGAAGAAGTGTCAGCTGTGTGGGTGCCACAGCTCCAGCAGATGGGCTTGGACCTAAACACAGGAAAATATGTCCCTACTCTGCAGCTCCCAAGTCTTCTGGGCCCTGCAGGAGCCCTGGTAGCTCCCGGCCTCCACTTGGCCCCTGTGACCAGGCAGAACTGGCTCCCAGACCTGGGTCCCAGGAGGACACCTGGTCCTCTGGCTAGACACAAAGGAGAGTAAACATCAAATAATAACAAAAAGAATAGGAATAATTTCAATACTTATTCTCTCATACGTAAACACATTCCACTAACAGCTTTATAATCAGTATCTCATTTAACCCTCCCTAAGAAGCCAGAGGGGTCAGGCCGTGGAGGGGCACGTTATAATTCCCATTTTACAGAGGAGGAAACTGATGCCTAGAGCCGTCAAATGACTTTTCCCGAAGTCACACCTCTGCTGAAGTGTTCTGAACTTCCTAACCACTAAGAGCGCAGCATCCTGGTTCTGTGAAGATGGTGTCTGGGTGCGAATAGTAGTTAGTGTTCCTGCAGCCGAGAGGGGCCATAGGAAGCTGTGCTCTTTCCCCCACATTCATGCTGACCTGTGGGTTAGAAGGTAAGGCAACAATCTGGGGGGCGGGGGGCAGTGGAGTGGGTCAGAGTTCAGTGGGGGTGGGGAGCAGGGCTCAGTGTGAACAGGGTTTGGGCTCAGCTGAGAAAAAGAACCAGAGTCCAGGCTTCTCGCCCCCAGCCCAGTGTTACTGCCACTACACCTGCCCCGACACTGACCTGGCCAAGGTCCTCCCCATACTCGCTGCCTCCCTGTCTGCTACAAGAGGGTGTGAGAGGGAAGGCCTCTGAGGCCCCTTCGGAGTCGAGGCTGTTGGACTGTTGATGCGAACAGACTGAGCTCAGGATGTGAAGGCGGACCGTGAGAGAGCAGGAGGTCCTGGGGCTCCCAGGGGTGGGGCAGGCCCAGCCTTGGGGAGGCACCCGCACTGGAGCCACCCTTGACCCACTCTACCCTCACTCGCTCCCCCATGTCCTCCTCTCCAGCCGGCGTCTCCTCCACTTCCACAGCTTATTGACTTTTGGATTTACAAGGTGTGCTGACTGCCGAGGCCCTGGGACGATTACACGCCTGGGCCCACCTTAGAAAAGCACCCTCCTTATCCAGGCCCCCCAGCAGACGGAGGAGAGGGGTGGGGCACACGATGGACCTCTCAGGTGCTGTGAAAAATTTAAAGAGGAAAATAATAGAAAAGAATCAAAGGCAGGTTTCGTTCCAGAAAGGAAAGATGGAGGATCCGTGTTCAATTTCATGGCCATGCTCCGAAACCCTCGCCTCTGCAGTCCAGGTCTGACTCTGACCCTCAGGGCTCGGGCCCGAGTCAGGAGCTTTATGGTATTTGCTTGGTTTATTGGCTCCAAAGAAGACGATATGAGGGCCCAAGCTGTTTTCTGGAGACAGGACCCCCCGTGGAACAGCCAAGATTTATGGTGTCTGGGAAACCTTACAGTAGGTTATTGACTGGACAGAGCCAGCTTTCCTCAGCACCCAGGTTAAGAGGAGGGCCTGGCCCTGGTCCATGTGGCTTGGTTGGTTGGATGTTGCTCTGCAAGGTGAAGTGTGGCCAGTTCGATTCCCGGTCAGGGCACATGCCTAGATTGCAGGTTTGGTCTGCGGTTGGGGCACGTACGAGAGGCAACCACTCGATGTTTTTCTCTCACATCGATGTTTCTTTCTCCCTCCCTTCCCCTCTCTCTAAGAGAGAAAGAGAGACAGAGAGAAGAGCCTGGAGGTAAGGAAACCCCAGAACTGTGGTGGGAACCATTCCCCAAAATGTTTTCTCTTCCGTCAGCTCCCATGTTCTCGGTGACAGCCCCGTGATGCAGCGGCATCTCCCCCTTCACCATGACGGTGGGAACCAGGCCTAGGAAGCT